TACTTCATTTTCTTGGAAGAGACACATTAACCTTGTCAGCTGGCCAACAGGAGAGAAAATTTGGCAGTGCTCTTGCTGAGCTGGCCAGGTTACTACTGCGTTAAATGGTTGTACTTCAGTGAGCAACCAGAAATGGCAACACACGGGCACGGCACATGCACGGCAATGCTAGAGAGACCATTTAGAGGCCTCCTCAGCTACAGAATTATTTTCTTTAGCAAGAGAGAAGAAAAGATAAAAAATTTCAAGAGCTTTTTAGTGTTGTCGGAGGTGTGGAGGATAAAACTTCACTTCAAAATGCCTGTACCAAGCCTGCTCGGTATTTCTGATGGTGGGAAATCAGTGCTTTGCCGTGGTAAATACCTGCTGTCCATTATGTTTTCAATGCAACCTTTCAAAAGTTCATTGAGCCTTTTAACAAACGGTGAGTAATTTTAGATAACGAGCAAGTGAGACAACATTTCTGTCATCCTTGTTATCGCTTTGGTAAGAACAAGGCTGCTCTTGTGCTGGAGCTGTTGAATTTTGATGGCAAGTTCTCAGGGTCTCCGTCAGCATCCTGTTGCCTACGCAGCCAATTCTGAGTCGCCGTATGAACACATTATTTCCACCCTGCACATCCTTTTCGTGTTTGCCTTTCATGCCTCTCCGCCAAGTATATGTGAGGGACAAATGAAGTTGAAGGCAGAGGTGATCGGGAGCGAGGAGGAGTAGCCAGCCGTACGAGGCTCCTGCTCGGATTTGTCGGGTGTAAAACCGCACGCCTTTAGCCGAGGTGGGAGAGCCACACGATGCACTCTACGGGGCTGAGCTGTGTAGGACGTGGGCTCCTAAATGAGCATCTCTGGTGCAAACCCACAAGTGGAGAATGCAGTGTAGCTCCTGGAGTGAAGCTGTGCTCTAAGCAAATCTGCTTTTTTTTTATATTCTCTCATGCTACCTAGTTATCCCTCCCCCCTTACAGTGCCTGGTATTTATGTTTCCAGATAATAATGATGTGATGTGGCTGGCAGAGTAATTTAAATAATTGGACATTATCTTGAGAAGCAAGCACCTAATTAGTTCAAAATAAACTGAGAACTGAAATTTTCATCTGTTTCTAATAACCCTTTACCTATGTACAGTATCGCTGCTGTGGCAGAGATTTCATTATTCACACCACTGTGTGTACTTAGAGTTCACTAGTGATGGAGACTCCTGGTGGTATTTTTTGGCCAAGGCTTGGTGGCTCATTCTTCTCCTGGTACCGCCGAGTATTTTGCAGTCTTACTCTGTTGTATTTGGCCCTTGTATACCGGTGAGGTTTGAAGTTTGTATCAGCAGTCTGGGTTTGAATGCATAGCTTCAGAGGTAAAAGGCTCAAAGAAAGTCTGATCTTATAACTATACTTTTTCTTAAGTTTATCTAGGAGTTTATAATCTATTAATGCCTTTGTGCATATGCATTGAAAATATAGCAGCTAGCATGACCACTGAAGAAAAGAGAAGTCATTTTAGCACGTATGAGGAAGAGGCAGCTCCCACGTTCTCCAGCATTAGGTATCATCGGGACCATCTGAGCGCATGAGGATGTTGCCTCTCCAGCACGCTGGCTTTAAACTGGTCCTGAGAAAAGGACTCTGTTGGATTTTAAAAGTTCAGTAAAAGAGTCTTGTTTTGGGTTTGACAACTACAACTGGAAGTCTCCGGTGTTGAGGGGGTCCTTTAGAGTGGAAGTTACCAGGATTAAGAGCTAAGGGAAGAAAACGAGGGAAATATTTACTAGCCGGTGTACGTTTCCTTTATTTTTAGGGATTGGTTCGGTGTCTTTCTCCTGATTAGTTGCTCTTCCTCACATTTCCTCATACTCTTATTCAGCTGATTTATTTAAAGGTATGTCAGCGCTGGCTGAAATGAAACACTGTGCCTCCTCTTCCTGCTTATTGCTGACCGCTCCAATAATTCATTTTTTAGCTCATTAGCTAACGGGGGATGTGAACAGCGATTCTCCAGGGGACTGCAGTGAGGTTAAGTGATCTACTGCTGACAACTCTGCTCTTGGACTGGCCTTCCTTGGGGGAAATGAAACCTCAACCAAGACAAGCTGTGGATCCCAGAAGTGAAATTGGGGCATCAGAGAAACAATTACAGTATTTATGTCGTCTTGTCGGGATTTCGAAGATGAATGCGAGCGGCGGAGCTGAAGCTGTCTTCCAGGAAAGTCCCCGGGACTTCCCATTCAAAATGAAATGGTTTGTGCCAGAGACGTAGGGAGGATGTCCGTGGACGTTGACTTTCTAGATACTCATTCGAAAACAGTCCCTCTACGTTCTGGCTGTCCATGAGGTGTGGGCGAGCATGCTTTTCCTCCTACCTCTATGATAAAGTTTCATTTTCTACCAGAAAATCGAAACGACGTATCTTTCTTGTGCCCAGTTTGTACAGTTGAATAAGATCTAAATCTCATTCGATAGCCGATGTCAGTGACATGCTGCCCCCAAATGTCTGAGGCTTTTAAAACACCTTTAAGTTTGTTTGTAATGTTTGCTGTGTTCCCACCACAACCCTTAACGTCGCTCCTAAGGTAGAATTTGGCCTTAATGAATTGAGTCTTTCGGTGGCTTACGTGATCAAGAAAAATGAGGCGGGTTTTCTGAAAAGGGAAACTGAAGTGAAGTAAAATAACCACGTGCGAAGGTGGAAGTTTTAGGTGAGCGTAGCCCAGTGGCACAGCCTGCTGCTGGCTGCAGGGTCCTGCTCTGGCCAGGCATCTCCTGAGGGACCCGACATCTCCGTAGCCGCTGCCCGGCTCGGCAACAGATTTCCTCCGGAGAAGGGGTGGATCCTGACCGGAGCATACAGTCGGTGTTAATGCAGAGCATTTACGGGTTACTAGATCATACCGCGGGAGAGTGCTTTAAGGAAGGACCGTTTGCATCCTCTCCATCACTAATACAGGTGGCAGCATGTTCCCCTTCCTCAGAGTTAGATTTATTTTTTAGTGGGTTTTCTGTTCTTTTCTCAGCCTTTTGAGACCGTAGGATAAACCTGAGCAGGATCGGGTTGCTGGGGTCTCCCCGGCTCTCTTGCAGCCTTCCACGAGCAGCAGGTTTGCCTTTGTCTGCTCCCATGCGATGCGCGGCAAATGTGAAATTCGTGCCGATGAATTTGTGAACCAGCAGCCTAAAGCTCTGAAATCCTCGGCCTGAATTTGGCACTTATTGCCCCTGTTTCAGTACATACCGTAGCTCGCTATTACGGTTTAAGGTGAATTGTGATTAGAAGTGGGAAGTTGGGTAAAACAGCTTGTTTTCTAAACAGAAAGGGACTTCTCTTCTTGCTGCGGTGATCGCAGCAACTGACGCTCTGACAGGAGCCAAGACTTACTATTACTCAAAAGATGGTCTGGGGGAGAGAGGGGATTCATTTGCAGACTCGATACCTGTTTAAAAAACATATGAGAGCTTTACTAAACATTCTTGAAGATACACTGGATGGTTACTGGACCTAGAAGTGTTGCAAGAATGCCCATTTTATTGTAAATAATTGCATGTATGTTACTTTATCCTCCTCACTGCACTGTTTTTGGTTTGGTTTTTTTACCTTAAAATATCCAAACCCAAAAACCATGAGTTAAGGATGCAGCAGTAACAGAAGTCCTTTTCTTCCTCCTCTCCATCTGGAATACCTGAAATGATACTCTGTTTATCAGATCCTGCCATCAAAGGTTAATTTGCAGCTCCCCAAATGTGGGGTTTTTTTTTTGTGTGTGTGTGTGTGTCTTTTAGCTTGCAGGAGTCATTCAAAGGTTTGATTTAAACGAAGCGCTCTTTGTGTTAATTTTCTGTTTGCACTTTTGTTCTGAAAAAAGCCCTGGACCTGTTTGTAAGGTAAATTGCGGTCGGGGTAGAGAAGCGCATGCTTTGGGAAGCTGTGCCTGAAAGCATCCAGGGAGGTCAAAGCAAGGTCACTCCGCATGTACCAGGAAATGATGCAAAACTAATCCAGATTTGCTGTTGGAAGGATCTGTTTACATAAGTATTTAAAAACAGATTAGGGCTAACCTGACACTAGATTACTGAGAGTAGTGTAAACACGGCTGAAAGGCGTAAACAGAGCTTTGCCTTTTGTGCTCCTGAGGAGAAAATCTGTCACCAGTAACAAGTTGCCTGGCTTAGGTGATGTATATGGTTTTCACAGGCTGGACAGATTACCTGAGGTACCTCTAAATGGGACTTTGTCTAGGGCTAGATCTCTTAGATCATGTAATTGTATGGTAATTTTTTTAATGGAGAGTTGAGGGACTTGTTTGTAGTCCTTGTTATCCTGTAACCTAATAGCATCCAGAAGGCTTTTGATAGTTCTTTGACCTATCGGGAGGAAATGGTGCTTCAAAGTATTGTTTTGGTGGTTTGCATTTTGGAAAAACAAACAGAGGAACCATCCGTATGCCTTTTGCATCGGAAACATTGCTCAGCTCGTAGAAGGAAAAAGCACCCCTGCGAGCAAGGCTGCGTCTTTCAGAGCTTGCTCTCCCATCTGAAATGCAAGCGCAGGGGCTTGGTTACTTCTGGTCTTAGACACAGAAATTGGGTGCATTTTCTGTAATGTATTTTGCAGCACAACCTGAACGTGGAACCAGGCTGCCTGTTTTGTCTTCGGTCTTCATGATGGTGAGGGCTCTTGCACTGACCTCTTGCCAGTCCTCAGGGTTTTTTTAAGACCTCCTGGCTGTTGTGATCTTATGACCCCGTAGGCACGGCATCCACCGAGGGGGATCTCGGGCATTGCAATAATATGACTCGGTAACGATGAGATGGGTGACACAAATATCACTGCAAAGATAAAGTTTGGATGCACTGTTTCGATGAGGGCTTTTTTGCCAAAAATTTGAAGGGGGAGTAATTTTCATGTTGGTTAACTTCTGTTTGCTAGCATAACGATAGCCGAAGCTGAGCTTGCACCGTTTTACAGCGTCAGCAAAGTTGGGTTAGAGTGACCTGTCTCCTTTGGCTTCTCTAGGGAAGAAAAAGAGCGCTGGATACGTGCGAAATACGAGCAGAAGCTCTTCCTTGCCCCGCTGCAGTGCCTGGAGCTTTCTCTGGGCCAGCATCTCCTGAGGGCTACAGCCGAGGAGGACTTGCGGACGGTCATCCTGCTCCTTGCCCACGGGACTCGGGAAGAGGTGAACGAGACCTGCGGAGACGGTGATGGGCGCACTGCCCTCCACTTGGCGTGCAGGAAGGGAAACGTGGTGTTAGTGCAGCTCTTGATTTGGGTAAGTATTCGGCGTCCGGGGAGGAGGGGCTGGCTGGGTTGGCTTTCGTTTGGCTGTGTCCCTCAGCAGGACCTCACAAACCTCCTTCCTGCGGGTTCCACAAAGCCTCTGCTGGTGTGCCGAGTCTAGAGCGTTCCTCATTGCACGCTCTCAAGAGATAGCAATGTGATAAGAAAGTATTTTTCTGTCTGTCTGCTGCTACTTGATGGAAGTAAAGGAGAGCGTAGGAAATGAGGCAGGAGAGATTCCCCTAGCACCTGTTTGAAACACCACCGTGGCAAATTTTGTTCCGCACATGAGCCTCTCCCCGTAGAAACCTTTACGTATGCGACTCAGTGCTGCTCACGTTGTCAGGCTGGTATCCTGCCTGCTCTCTTCTCCCTCTCCCCATCCCCAGTTACATTCAAACCAATCTGTCCTGAGCCCCCTCCCTCCATTTTAACGCTCTGTTGGCACCGCAGCTTCCAACAACACATCTCTTCTTTCTGTAGTATGGCGTCGACGTGATGGCACGCGATGCCCATGGAAACACGGCGTTGGCCTACGCCCGGCAGGCCTCCAGCCAGGAGTGCATTGACGTTCTCCTCCAGTACGGCTGCCCCGACGAGCGCTTCGTCCTCATGGCCACTCCAAACTTGTCCAGGAAGAACAATAACCGGAACAACAGCAGTGGAAGGATGCCCACCATCATCTGAGGAGCTCACTCGTGTATTCGCTGACCTGAATTACATCCGCAGCCTCATATTCCTTCATCCCCATCACAGCTCTGCTCTGTGAGTCTGGTAACTCTCCTTTTCCCTTTTCCCTTCGGTACATCCCTGTCCCATCCGGAAACGACGCGTCTGGAGAGCGCGAGGGGATGAGAAGGAGCAAAAGGGGCTGCAGAGAAAGCAGTTGTTTCAGTGACAGCTCTCGAACGATGGAAACAAGCGGGCGAGAGCGCGTGGGTTGAGCAGGACACGCCGCGCGTGGCACCGGGACCATGGGAGAGCGGTCGTCCCCGGGGGGGACGCAGGCTCCCCGAGCGTGGAGGGAAGGGGCGGAGGGAGAAGCGAGCGAGAGGAGAAGGAAGGAGAGATGGTGACTTTCCGTAACTGACAGTTAAGCACATCAGTACATTTCACCTCTACCAAACGCGACGCCTGGATTTCATTCTCTTCTCTGAAGAGCTTGACGGCATAAATCAGAAGCAAGCACAGAGTTTGTCAGGTTTGAAGCTCCTATGATGGTATGTGTCAAATCAGTTGTAGCTAATCTGTCCGGGGAGAATACTGGCTTCATTACACTTGTATAGTTGAGTTCTTCCAGCATTACCGCTGTTTAATAGAACATGATTAGTCATCACGGAGAAAAAAGCATATTAGCTGAAGAGGTAGTTACATGGCACGCTTCGGTGATTGCTTGGATGTGATTGCAATATTCTTAGAAGCATCATATTATCTCAGACATGTTCTTTCAAGCCCTTGGAGCCCTCCTTTCTAAATTCACTGTCATAATTTAGTATCTGTTTAATTTTTCAGTCCAAAGAGAGGAAATGAGTTGCTGAGTGTTATTTGACTGCAGTCTCCTTGGTGTAAAAACAAAATGGAAAAAATAAATAAGAGTAACTATGAAACACAAAAAGGAATAATGAATACCGCTAAGGAAAAACATTTCAAGTACGTTTAGTGAAATTAATAAACGCATTAAAGGCTAATATTTTTTCAGGCAGCAGAAATAGGTTCTGTCATTTTGCCAAGGTAAACGTGTTGAGTTTTTGGTCACTCCTGTGATGCATTGCCTAACTTATACAGATTTTTGTATTGTGTCTCTAGATTATATGTATGTAAAATCTATTTGAATAAAAAAAAACATAAATATGCATTGATTTTTTTTTTTTTTTGTACAGAAAATGACATCTCTGTTAATTTATAAACCGTAATGGATGTGAACTAAATAATGTGCAACTAGTTAGGATCTATGGGCTACAGCTCATTGTACATTGAAAATATTCCCAGCAGTGAACTCTAGTTTCCATCGCAAGCCTTTGAGGAACATATCAGAAGGAGATTATGGCACGTTTGGCGTGGGGGAAAAAAAGTGTACGAGACCTTTTAGAAAGGAAAAAGAGGCTGTTTCTCAGCGCTGTAAATATATTTTACTCCAGAAGTCACGAAGCTTTCACAAGCCAAGACAAAAAGCCCTAGTCTGGCTGTGGGAAGATCAGATTTGATTAAGTTCAGAATTGATAGCCTTCACCGCGGCGGGCAGGGCATGGCTGCGCTTGACTCCCAACTTGGCTGCTTTCTGGAAGAAAAATGGCTTGTGAAAGTAGCCTGGACAGTTCATTTGAATTCCAAGTTTTAATACTTGATTTGATTATTTTGGTATTACCGGGCAGATCCCAGCTTCTCCTGTTTTCAACGAAGTAGGATTCTGGCACGGGGAAGCAGGCTTGTGTGGTTTTGGCAGGCAGAAAAGTGATTTTTTTAAGTGGCATATGGCAATGTGAAGATGGGGGAAGGGTATATCACGGAGCAAGTTGAAAACTCAACTGAATTCGATGGCAAAGGAGCAATTATGTGAAGGCAGTGGGGTGCAGACAGCATAGTAATTTGCAAATCTACCTGCTCGTATGTATTTCCCAAGCCTTCAGCGGTGCTCTTCCTTGGGGCTCTGGATTTCATTTGGCATACAAATGGGAGGAGCATAGCAATTGCTAAATAAACTCTATGTGGACAAAACGTGAAGGAAAAAACGTCATCTGGTTATCTTAAGGAAAAAAAAAAAAAAACAGAAAATTACAGATTTGATGTAAAATCATCATATTGTGATGGAAGAAAAGCGAGCCTCAAGGTGGAAGCACAAGAATATTGACCAGCTTTTCCTAATCGGTGGTGTTCTCATTTTGTACTTTGTTACTGTATAGACCTTTGACTATTGGGGCAGGGGGGGTGAAATCTTATTCCAACCAGCCTAAGCTGGCTGCATCAGAGTAAGACTACAGCTGATTCTCTTCATACTGGGATAACTTCAGTTTTTTTTTTTTTTTTCAATTGAGGAAGGGTGTCTGTTATAATTGCTATTTCTCCATCATTCCCATGCAGCTCCCTGATCTTTGGTACTGACGGGTGGTCCTTCAGCAGCGGGACAACCCATCCAACGTGCAGCTGAAGGGGATGCTGTGAAGCCCACTGTGTCTTGGTGCTCACGAGCTTTATGCCCCTACTGGGGGGACACAGCAGGGATTCAGGAATCGCGGCTCGTGGTCCCAGAGGTGCTATAGCTGCCTGCTGTTCCCCTGGGAGACTCAAGGGCATTTGTATCCGAAAGCCAAGTCCAATGTTTCAAATACACAGTAGGCAGATTTGCCACTGTTAAGTTCTCAATGCATGTTCCATTTCCGAGCTGTTTTTTCCTAATTGAAAATATTTTCTGTACATAATTTAATGCTCTCTTCGGGCCACCTTCCTCTTATAAAGCTGAGAGTGATGTTTGAGAAACAAGGGCAACCAGGGTGCCATGCAGATTTCAGGTAGAAGAATTACACGCTCCTTTCATAAAAATTTTCTGAAGGCGAGCATCCAAAAAACCCAGAATATTTTTAGGAGAGGAAATTCCACTATATTCTAGGAAAAATGACATATCCAGGCTAGCCAACTAATAACCTCATACTTTAATTAAGCAGTAGCACAGTTGCTTTTAACCTAAACGTAGTTTTCCCTCGGAGGTGTTAAGCGTTGGCAGTAACTACGTTGAAGTGGCGTAGATTATGCGATGGCTTCCCGAAACATGTGGGGCGGATACCCAGTTGTGCATGCGGCGGTGATCCCTTCGAAAGACAGGAGATCACCCAGCGCTGTCCCTCCAAGTCAGGAGAGACCTTCCCTGGCACTACAGCTGGTGATGCTCCAGCCGCAGGAGAACAGACCGAGGGTCTGTGCCTCATGGGGTGTTGGCTACGCCATCCCCTCTTCAAATGGGTTTGGTTGGATGTCCCACTAGCACCTTCTGAGCTAGTGGGACAGGCCACCCGGTAAGAAGGTCAGGCCAGGGTAGACTCCATCCCCTTCTTGCATGGTGAAGGAGAGGAGGGAAGATCCCTTTCCACCACAGCCGAGAGCAAGGATGGAGAAAGTTCTCCGTGGCTGGAGCCCGGCGGGGCTTGGCTTTGTGAGCCGAGGTCTCCGGGCTCTGCGTGCTTTTCAGGGGATGCGTTTGCACTTTGCAAAGGATGTTCTTGAAGCCATCCAGGTGCGGAAACAGGCAATATATACCGACACTTGGAGAACCTGTGGGAATCGTTCCCCTTGCTTTCACTCTGTTAACCCGTCCGTTTTCTGTTCTTCGTCTCGCATTTAGCCCCTCTCGTTGCTTTTATGGAACCCACTTGCCAGGCTGTTTACGCCCTTCGAGCACATTATGAGCAAATTAAAAACAAATTGAGATCCAGTCAATAAGAAATCCCAGCAGAAACATGTTAGCTAAAGCTGTTTTCTCTGAAAATGGAGTCTGCGGCCGTGGTTTGCATTGCGTCCCCAATTTAACCCTTTTCATCATCCCAGATACCTTTAAATCCCCCTTGCTCTGCACTTTATCCACGATGACTGAAACACTAGAAGCGAGTCAGCCTTTGCTATTAACATCAGCACTTTCCTTCTATTTATTTTAAGCTATTTGCTGTTGAATGGTAGAGATGAGTCGGATGTGTCGTACCCGGCATCTGAACCTTGATATTCCCAGAGTTGAGGAAGGTTTACTTCTCCTCTCTATTTATGAAGAAATACGATCTAACCTTGGGAAAATTCAGGGTCCTGCCAGTGCAGAGATTTGGCCAAGGGCTCCCGTTACTGGATTTCTGATTTCGTTGCTAAAAGAGGGCAGAAGAAAAGCTATTTTTGGAGATCCTCGGTGTATTCTGGGCTAGGTGCTGCTCAGAAAGCCAGGGGAGCTCCAGGGAGGTAGAGAGGATTTTTAAGCGTTTGGGCATAGTGTATAATGACTGTGTAGACATTACTATTGTTTAATTTGCCGTCTTTTCCCCGTTCCCTTAAATTATGTGTGTTAGTGCAAAAAAGCTTTAGCTGCACTTGGAGATTTCCCCTGGCCAGAGGAAGCTGAGTAACGTAGGGAGAGGAATAGAGGTGGGAATGCAGATACGGGCTTAGAAATGGTCTCCGGCACTGTAATGTTGTATAATTAGATTATATGGGGTTTGGATAGCTTCATCTTTTATATTTGTATGGAGATCGGGAAAAATGAAGTAATTTGTAGTTTCTAGTATAAAGTAGTAATAGTGAAGACAAGCACAGATTTCACACGGGGGTCCCGAAGGGGCCCTTTCCAAACATCTCGGGGAGCCGCGCTTGCACCTTAACAGGGAACAAATGGTCATTGTGGCGGGAGGGACTCAAGGTAAAGAGGGACAGCGTTGGGGACCAACCTTGGGGCAGCTTGGCTGGATAGGAGACAACTTGCCCGTTCCCATCTCATCATCAAGCACCTTCGTTTCCCCTCCGGTGGCTGCTACAGCGATGCGTACGTGGGATCTCCGGCTGTTAGTCTTGGATCCCCAGTTCAACATCCCCTTCCATTCTTGGTGATTTGTGGGTAAAAATTTACTGAGTAGAAAACCGTTTTTGGATGTTCTTGTGTTTGCTGCATAGCAGAAAAAAAAACCCGCTCCAGATGAACGTTCTTTTCAAGGTAGAAAAACACTAAACTACCCTAAATTAAAAGGTTCTACAATGAGTTTTGACTTCTTAAATTCTAAGCTACAAAAAGAAGGTTGGTTTGAATGGTTTTATTAGAGAATAATCTCCTGTTTGAAAAAATCTAGAGGTAATAGAGCAAAATATCCAAAGCTGTAGGTAGGTAGATTTGTTGTATTACGATATTCTAGGTTTGGTTTTGTTGTTTAGCGTGGGCCAGTTTTTAAAGTAAATATTGGGTGGTCTCATCTCATGACAGTTTACCTTGAGTTGACTGAATCTGTCTCACATTTTAAAGGGAGGTTTGAAGGGTTTTGGCCAAGATTTTCAGGAGCTATGAATAGTTCGTGTTTTGAGAGGAGGGGACTGCATGATTTCCGAAAATAAAAGGTGGTTTGGGGTTTTTGTTTTTAGAGCCATCTTAAGCCCTAAATCACTAGGCATGCTTCTGGTCATCTTGGCCCCTGTGTTTCATTTCAGGTGACAGCAATATGTGGGTGAATTAACTCCCATCGTTTACTATTCGTTCCCTGAATGTTCGGGGGGATTTTTGCTTGTGGGCAGATGAAATAAAAATGTCTTTGTGCATTTCAGCAGTTTTAGCCTCTTTGTCTCTATATGTCTGCCTATCTCCCAAATCCCCGTGGCATACTCAAGCGGTAGCGGTCGGTTCTGTTGACAGGCAGAGCTTCGGCTTTCTCTTGGCCATGAACTTTCTGGATGTGTGTTTAGCTTCTGGTGCTAAGGATTGACTATTTTGCAGTGCTTCAGAGCTAGTAATTTTTACCTGTGTGTTATGTACAAAACGTGAAGGGGCGGGGGGGGTGGGATGCTCACAGAGCTCTAATGGCATGCGTTTGGGATGACCGTGTTGCTTGCTGGCAGTGAATGCACCATCAGCTCTTTTGCGAATGCCCCGTTTTCCAGAACCGATCGGTGTTTTTTTTGTTTCTGAGAACCGAAGTAGCTGTGAAAATGTTTTCCTGGTCCTCTTGAATGACAAGGCACAGGGAGTAAAACCCCTCACAGCAGACAACTTGATAAGGTCTGATCTGCGCTTGAAGGCAGACCCCAAGCTCACGCAGGACCAAGGAAAGGTTTTGGTGCTGAACGTGGGTTGTTATTTGGCAACTAGTTCCCAGATCTGGGGATTGAGTTGGGTTGAATTGGTGGATGAAGTGCGGTCAGGGTGGTTTGGGTCCGAAGGTAAAGGCAGCGTATCACATGGAGGTCACTAACCACACGTGCTTTGCATTTGGTGTGCGTACGTGTGCTTATATATGCATATATGCTCTACATACTGCTATTAGCAATTGTGGAAATGTACGTGCGCACAT